ATCAACTATCCGACTAATACAAATTCCAATCAGAAGAAGTCATCCAAGTTTCTTATTATGTCTCTAACATCACTGTCCACAATGACTTTAATATTTCCTTCGTTAAACAATTGATCCATTCCAAAGCTTCACTGCAATCTTTCAACCCATCCTAACAAAAATCAAGCATTCTCCACTAAATCCCATTCATAGAACCCTACACGTCTACTTAAAAGATGATAGCCCAAAGTATTTCTTCCGCCACTTCCGCCAACACGACACACAAGAATGGTACACTACTAAAGAAGATGCGTCTGACTGACCAAAACATCGAGGATAATCAGACCAAAATGATCGGTAATGACCAAACTTCACTAAATGTTAAGCTTAAATAAAAATTGCTTGGAATTGGATAATAGACACTCTCGACACTAATTTTGAAAGAAGAAAAGGGGGGACCAAATTTCGGTTTGTATGCCTATTATTGTATATGTACACAAAAAACACATAATTATCTGAACTTACAACAACGTTGATACAGCATACAACAACAAACTACGTGCAAGAGGGATCCTCCTTGAGAGAGGATTGAAGCTACTTTTGAGCAAAAGCCTGCGTATGTTTCCGGGATTTAGAAAATTGCTTAATGTGTTCTACTTAAATGAAGGGTTTCATTCCTTGGCTCCATATAGAGAGCATGTAGATTGTGCTTGAGTATTTTGACCGTTCCGATTTTTGGAGGAAAAAGGGCCGTTTTATTGTATATAGTAGTGATAATTACCTCGTTTTTGTGTGTGCGTGTATTTTCTTTTGTGTGCATGCTAATATTGAATGTAACTGCCGATGCATATAAATTGCACCATTTGTAAACAATTGTAAAACGGCATTTCTTCAAAGAGAGGTCAAACTCAATGGTGAATCTTGCTGGCGTTTGCAAACGCGTTTTTTTCTTCCATTCACTGCAAGACACGCCCAACCTAACTCGCCTGTGTCAAAAATAAAGCAAAACTCACAGGTTTACAAGCACGGAACAAAGAAAGCACTGAATTTTTACGAATGGCAGACGAGATTTTATTACTTATTCGTTTTATAAGCGGTCTGGGTTTTCGCATAAACGGGTTAGACCGTGGACGTCAAATTGTAATAAAAACATAAGTATCATGAACAATGACATCAAATAAAGATTAGCATAAAATATGTGAAAAGTGAAGCGAGAGTCGTCGAACTTATGTAAAATCCCACGATTGTGATTTAAACTCGTCATCCCGGAAGATTCCAATTAAAATGTCTGTTAAAAATAATTTTGAAAGCTGTTGATTATTTCAACCATATTATCGGTTTTAAGACGTTTCTTTTGATAGACATGTCGACACGGTTTCTTGATTCATTTCTTTCACTAATGGCACTTGCTGGGTGATTGATGTACCGTGGGCAATGGATAGAGGTTGCTCTACATCATAATGACAAGGGTTGTGAAATTCTCCTTCATTATACCACGTGTTTTCTCCTTTACACCTTGCTCACCATTTTTTTTAATTTAAAGAGAGAGAGAAATTTCAACTTTTCCTGTTGACTTTGATTTCTTAGAGTAAAAACAGTTTTGGAATAGACCATTCAAAACGATTTATGCCTGTCTTTTGTTCATCTCACCTGGTCAAGACATGCATTGGTGACTCTTGGCAAAGTATAGTAAGTTCGTTAGCCTCCATCCTTTATTCTATTAGCATTATTTATATTGCCTAATCGGTTTTGCATCTTGCACCGTTGAAAAGTGAAATTTTCTGGCAACTCTTTCAGAATCGAAAAGTCGAAGAACGCCCTTGGAAATTTATAGCGCGAATGGTCAGTACACTTTTATCTCAGTTGTCCCTGGTCAGTCGCGTTACGGTGCCGTTTCCCAAATAAAAAAACATCCAGTCTAGACACACCCAATGTTGATTACGTTGACAATATTTTTATCAGAGGACCTATCTCAACATTTTAACCCAAGGTCTAATTCTGTAAAAAGCGAGCAAAATTCGCTAGAGCCGAAGCTACATTTTTCTACAAATTGCCTTAATTAAACTAGTAGTTTTTGCATTAATTCTAAACTTCAATTATTTTTTATTTTATAATCTTTAACACACTTTATCTTAAAATTTATATATTTTAATGTGATGATTATACAGCAGTTGTTGAGAAACTGGATCTCCGTCTTCCATAGATAGGTCAAACATTAAATCCTGACAATAGATTGACGATAGATGATTTTTTAAATTTTATTTTTTTATTAATACATTTTAAATATTTTTAAATATTACATACAAAACCTCAATGCAATCTGAGCTTTGTTGTATTCGACTTTTAAAATCCTCGGTGCCCCAGTCTACTTTTATATACATATCTCTGAGCCAATAAAACTGCTGACAAAGTAATCGTTGAAATTATATTTAGCGTTTAATTTGAGAAGACAAATTTTAACCTTGGCAAGAAGTGTTACATATGCACATACTAAAAAACGGGATTAACAAAGCTTACCAAAATTACTTGCTTATTACAAAAGCTCGTTGTGTTTTAATATGGCAAAAAATAATCAGAACTGAATAATGCTAGATGCAATAAAATCGTACCTTCCCTACAAAAGAATGCTGAAAATTTTGCTGCCACCGGTTAAATAACATTCAGTGGAATGCCGTTCCCCAGAATGATAAAAATTTTCTTAATATTTTTTTAATTAAATTGGGCATAAATGCATAACTGTCTATGTCAAAACAATGGTACACTGAAGTTATTTACGTATATTTTCTTAATATTTGTGACCGTACTGGGTATTTTCGTAACTACCATTCTTTTTAAGGATTTGTGATTTAAAATAATTGAATTTAAAAACTACCGCGCAATATTACAAAAGTATAAAAGAAAGCAACCAGGATAATGTCCTTCAGATTTGGTCTTGCACACCTGAATTACTTGGAAAGATGAACTGGCTTGGTCTTGAGTCGCTTAGCTCCCGCCGTTTTTTTGCAGATCTCATTTGGGGTTGGAAATTGTGGAATGGGGCCCATTGATATCCTGAACTTACATTTATCGTTATGTGTGCCTCAACGACCACTTAGGAACCATAATTTGTTCTTTGTTCCACACTACAAAACAGAATATGGACTAAATTCACCCCTACCGAGGATCCCTAAAACAATCTCTATCTCTCAAAATCTTAGCCTTTACCTTCTTATCTGCCTCTTCCTTTATATCGTTATCTCGTCCATCATATTTGTGCGCTTCTGTCTGTGCTCTCTCTCTCTCTCTCTCTCTCTCTCTCTCTCTCTCTCTCGCTCTCTCTCGCTATCTCACATTATCTCTTCTATCTATCTATCTAATCTAATCACTATCTATCTCATCTTTCTATTTAACTAAGCTCTATCTAACTGAGAGGCAAAAAAAAGTGGCCATCTTTAATATGTTTAATTATCTCCTAGACAGCTGTCCGAAGGATCTTCCATCACTACCAAGATACTAAAGGTTACTCGAATGATGATCGATTTATTGTTTCGAATGTACTCCGTAACATTCTACCGCTTTTGAGATGAAGCAACGACTTCAACAAGTTAGAAATATTAATATCAGTTTACGCACTGTGAGGCGAAGACTCTCATAAGCTGGATTACGTGCGAGAAGGCCTGCCACTGGCCCAGAACTCCTGACAAGGTACAGAACAGCTAGGTTAAAATTTGCAATAAATCGCACCAATTGGTCTAAAGATTGTATTAAAATATTGTTTTCGGATGAGTCAAGCTCTTGTTTAAGTTCAAAGAGGGTTTGGAGAAGAACAGGAGGGTGACATATCCCCGCAACATTTTCTCTCCGGAGATGCTATGGAAGAGTTGGTGGTGTTTTGGTTTGGGCAAGCATTTCTGTGGAACTTATTCGTGATGCGGTTTCCTTATCCATTTTATTTTATTATTTTATGTGATAGTATAAACATGTATACATATAGTATCATTGAAGAGTTATTGCTTTATATATTTAATTAAAATCCGTGGAAGAATATTTTATTTTCTTTATTTTGTACCAACCTTACAATTATTAATTACTTGAATGTTGTACAATTTGTAAATTATACGTATCAGTGATTACAATATATTTTTCTTTAAAAATATCCAGTAAACAACAAACAATAAAAATTATACGATTGCAAGTATTTACTAATAAAAAAAGAGGTGGCGGCCACTTTTGTTGCCTCTCAGTGTATTTATATAAATTCGATATTCAATCTATCTAGCTTTGTATCTATCTCTCTATTTATCTACGCTCTTCTACCTCTCTATCACTCGTTATCTGTCTTTGTTTTATTTCTTCTAACTCTTCTCTCTCTCTCTCTTTCTCTTTTTCTTTCTTTGTCTCTCTCTCTCTCTCTCTCTCTCTCTCTCTCTCTCTCTCTCTCTCTCTCCATATTTGTATACCTTTCTCTGTCTGCCCTTTCGCTTTCTTTCTTTTGGTCCGTCAGTTGTAATTTTGCCTGTCATACGCGCTTCGGCATTTCGCCAATTTTAGTGGTTTATCTGTATGATGAACTAATAGTAAACACAAAGAAATGCCTGACAAAATAACACACTGATGATAGATGATGAGGGAGAAACTGTAGACTCAATTCCCACCGCCGCCTCTGGGAATGATGGCCACTGAAAATTGACAAGGCACTCATCAATGAAAAGACTGGGGATCGGATCTCAGTGAATTTGGTCCAAATCCCGTTCGAAAATGAGTTGCTTCGATGAAAAAACTCCAGCACGGGGGCTCAATTATCACACTTGTTTCGAGCTCCCAAAAATTGGAGCCAGGAAGGAATACAATAAGCTGCTTAAAGCTGCAGAACTCAGATGGGACTCCTCCAGTTCCTGGTATCCACCAGAGTAAACACATGATAGAATTGAATTGCCCGATATTTGTTTAACGCTAGAAACCTTTTTGGAGTCTATCATCTTCTTTTTTTGTTATTTTGATGAAAATTAGTGTAATATTTAACTGTTATTTACTTTTTTCAGCGTGGCTTCACAGACGAATGCGTGTTCAACGAAGCTATCGGAGATCACTACTACAACTCGTACACCTCGACGAAGTACTCAAACTCAAATCGGACATTCTACTTGGGCATGAGGAACACTGGTGTCCCGAGGAAGGTGCTCGTCCGCAGCGGGAGAAATCTCGGCACTTTGTCCCAGTTCACGCGGGCACTCACCCAGCCGGTGGAGGCGATCGAAGCTGCCAATTTGGGGGCGATAAACTGCGATAAAGTGCCTCGAGTCGAGATGGCGAGGCCAAAGTGCAAAAAGAGGAGAAAATTGAAAAAAGGCCTGATAAAAGCGAAGAAGAGGCGGCCGGAAGGCGGCGAGCAGAAAGGGCCGGGAGGCAACTCCCGGTGCGGCGAAGGTTGCAGGCTCAAGAAGCTGCTGATCAACAGGAAAAGGAAGTCGCGGTTCTATCAGAGGCCGGCGCACCAGATCCGACACCGTAAGCACAGGATGGCGGCGAGACTGAGCGACGACGAAGACGAGAAAGTCGAAGAGGAAGACGAAGCGGAAGAAGTCGAGGACGAAGACGAAGAGGTCGATGTTACCACAGCGGACGATGACATGCACACCTTCGACGACCAGCCGGAAAACCTTCTCGACAACGAGCGTTTAGAAAGCCGGAACGACCACCTTCTCTTCAGGGCGATTGTATTTTAACTTCAAACGGATCCTACAACTACTTTTTTATTTTATTATTATATTTTATTGCGATTGGACGTTCTAGAAATCACTGTGGCCGGACTTTCCTATAGGGTTTTATTATCCACCGAACTGATTAATATGTACATAGTAGTATTATATGTTGTAGATTTAGATTTTTATAGTTTGTAATCTACTTACTTATTTAATGAGTTAGAATGTAATAAAAGTGAATCTTATTTAATTTTAAATAACTGACGTAGATCGCCATTTTCATCGAATGATCTTTTTAGTTTTTATTGTTTATTTCGTCGTTGTTTGCAGCTTTTCAATACGCTGACATTATTTGGGGATGTAAAAAGACTGTTTCGCGAATGAGAATCTCTATGCGCTTATTTAAAAACTAATCATCCGTCCTTCTTTTGAAACCGTTCATCGCAATTTATGTAAATGTTTGGTTTGAGACATGGGACAAATTATTCGAATTAATAGGAAATAAATAAAAAAAGATTTCCCCAAATATTTATTCTTAGTGACTGACTTATAAAAAGGCCGGATTCGAGTGACAATGGACCATTATTACAATCATTGATATTATTTACCTTATCTACCTACAACAATACCTCCACGAACGAGTTTTTTGTTTTTACATTATCCCCGTATTTTATATTGAAACTGAATATATTCATTGCACACCGTGAATCTGGTCTTTAACGTACTACTTTATAACTGTATTATTTCGTTTTTGTAATTTCATTGGTAGTTGATTTTAGATTTTGAGTATTGGGGTTACTCTTCGTGTGCTTTAAATATTTGTAAAGAATTGAAAATATATGACGAATTTATTTATTTCAACTGTAAGATTCATTCAAAGTAGTTAATTTTTAATAAAAAAGAAGGTAGCCCTAGTACGTTTAGTCAGAAAACAGTTACCAAAAATATGTGTGAAAACAATACCTGATATCTGCAGCCACCAAGAGCAGGATGTTTATTAATCTTACAAATGAAAATACAAAATCACTTAGCATCAATGGTGTTCAGTTTAATCAACCTTCAAATCAACATAAAGTAGAAGATCTCCGGTATGTGACGACTTTTAAGGTGAGTGAAAAATCAAAATCTTGAAAGGTGTTCTACACAGGTTAGTAATTGAAGTTTATCGGTTGATTAAGTTAAAGTTAAAACTCGTAAAGATTTAAAAGTTCACTTGTTCTCTTTAAGGCACCGAAAACACCACTCCAAGGATGATGCATGGAGAAAATGCGTCGTCATAATTTACAATCGTTTAAATTTGTTTTTCTTGGTTGTCAGAACGAAATAGCTATGATTCATGACCCATAACGAAACATAAAAGCTATAAAAGTGGGATGCAGAGGAGGTATTTTCTATAAATTAAAGATCAAAGATTCAGCCTAAAAGCTCTCCTGGTCTACAACACTAATATATATAAAACTTTGCTAACAGAGAAAATATGCTAACAGCCAAAGTTTCCTTTATAGGGCAATATTTTTAGGTTGATCTAGCATTGTTTTATGGAAATATATTAGAAATTCTTAAGCCAGCCCATTAAACGAAAAGTAAAACTGTAGTTTAAAATTTGGAATGAATATTAATTAGTACCTTTACATTTTAATAAGAAAATTCCATTTTTTTAATTTACTACCGAGACTCTTAATTGCAGATGGGTGAATAACTGAACAAATATATTACCAGAAAATTATTATCTATACAATTTATTGTTTGATTGTTGAAAGTAAATGTACATTTACGTTACCTCAAAAATTGTAAAACCTCCGGTACGAAGTTGAAAATTATCGCCTTAAAATAACTCACTCAAAATGAAAATAAGTTTCACGCTTGTCCTACAAACATAAAATCTGGTCAAAGAAGCAATGATGAGCCGATAAAAAAGATCAGAAACGACCATGCTACAGGTTCAACGCAGAATCCGTATATACAGTAAGTCAACAATTTAAGCCAATTTGCCTAAGACATATCTTTTTTAAATTTGAAATGTTTTTATCTTAATGGACTTAACCAGATGAGATGGTAGGTTGTAAAAGCAAGGTCGGGAATTTTTTTTAACGAAAGTTCCCAATAGCAGAGGTCATATTAGCCATGTGGTGCCGATGTTTTTGAAAAAATAAGGCCATTTGTAAGTATGTCGGGTTCGAACGCAGGGCCGCTGGATTCGAACCCGGGACCTTTACCTTACAGTGATGAGCGCCGTGTCAACGCCTTAACCGTTGCGGCCACCAGGAAATCTTAAGAACTAAAGTTAATTTACCGATAAAAACCAATTACATAATAATGGAATGTACAAGACCACGGCCGCCAAAAAGACCTGAAGTTATACCTAGTCCTGCCATAAGTTCTGTTACAAGAAAAAGGGCCATTAGGGAATAGAGAAACTTGATAATTTGAAAAAGAAATTTATTTTAAAAAATCCAATATTTTTTAAGATTGAAATAAAATAATATTACTCGAAATGACCACCTTTTGCCTTCACACAAGCTTTTAGTCTTCGGGGCCAATCATCTATGGCAGTACGCAACACGTCTTGAGGAAATTTCTCAACTGCTTTTAGCAGAGCGGACTTGAGGCTCTCTAAATTGGCGTGTTTCCTGTGGCAAGCCATAAGCTCAAGATGGGACCACACCTTGTAGTCCAGAGGAATGGCCCTTTTTCTTGTAACAGAACTTATGGCAGGACTAGGTACATTTATTTGATTATCACAATTGTCATCAATGTTTAGTCTTTACAAAGTAGTCTTTTACACCTGATCCTGTGGCCACTAAGTACAATTTCATCAATTGAACAAAATCCTATACCAAGAGACCAAAAATTATTGATGACCAACAACTGAGAAATTTAAATGAATCGGATCCCAAGGTGAAAGACCAAAATTACTGATGAAGAACAACTATGAGATAACTAAATCGGATCATATGCAGGAAGAACAAAAATTATTGATGAAGAGCAACTAAGAGATTTAATTGAATCAGATCACATGCGGAAAGTTTAAAAATTACTGTTGAATAACAAGTTGGAGATTTAATTAAAATTAGATCCCATGAAAGAAGACATAATGTCATGAAGCCTTCTGATGACTGTTTTAGAGCATACACTTACAATGCTGACCGTGTGGAGTTGACTAAATATAGGTATAGGTACCTATATAGGAAGACGATAAACGACGGTTCCGTAGTGCAGTAGCAGCAATAAAGCGTTCGGGGACCATCGAGGGTTGATCAATATCTTCAGACTTCTAGTGGCCCAAAACCTCTGTAGGGGGGCGTCGGTGGCCGCAACTGTTTAGGCGTGACACGGCGCTCATCACTGTAAAGTACCGGGTTCGAATCCAGCGGCCCTGCATTCGAACCCGACATACAAATGGACTTTTTTTCAAAAACACCGGCACCCCGAGGGTTGATATGACCTCTGCTGTTACGAACCCTCGTAAAAAGAAAAATTAAATTTAAATTAAACCTCTGTAGACCATTGTAGATGTAGAGCGCGACACGCCGTTGACCTGGACAATTTAACGGATGCTACGTCCATCTTAGACCAAAACACCTGCCCCTTTGGCGAGATATTCTCGACTTAAAACCATGCTGTTAGGAAAAACTGAATAATATATTTTTAACTCAAATTTACTGTTTCATCAAAGAAAATATTTAAAAAACAAGTTGGCTCTGAAAACGATGAAATTGAACTTGAAAATCATTATTTTTATGTAAAGTATTACTATGCTTTATAAAGGTAAAGAACAAGTAATTGTATGTTGCGTTCACTTTTTAAGTCAGCTACTAAATCTTTGTACTCAGAAGCAACAGCTCAATTGAGATTTAACCTAACGCATAGATAAAGCTTATGAAATCAAATTTCAGCAGCGACACTTCAAAGGAGAAGGATTGAGTCTATTCCACTGAACTAAGGAACTAGGAAGGTACAATAGGCCAAAAGGCTGCAGTGCCTGGGTAGCACAAACCCCGCTTCCAAGTATCCTTTTTTTACCATACCATACCAATATATTATTATAGAAAATATACTAATAAATACAACTATCTGTTTTTTTGTCTTTGAGTGTATGAATGCTATTTAAAACGTCCCACTTCTTGTAAAATCAATGAAATTTCAACCTAAAATCATATTTAGAGACGTTTAACTACCTTTTTGCCAACTGTAATGGGCTTCTAAAGTCAGTTTGAATATTTGTAGTATAAAGTTTGCGAAAAATTTGCAACTCGACGGATGTTGCATAACCGCGTAATGGATCAGCTAAGAAGCCGTTTATAACTGACGTAATAGATGTTGTCTACGTGCGGTTTGTCACCCCGATCATGACCTTCCTCGACCAAAATATTCCGAGCGGCTCTTTCTGTAAATTCGTGAATCAGATAAAAAACGGTCGTGGCATCAGATAATACCTGCACGTAATTGATGTTCCTTCAATTGCCTAGAACAAACCTCTGTCATATTCAGAAGAACGTGGTCATGTCAGTCCTTCGCCTTAAACGACGTAAATGTGCATTTTAAAAATTAAAGTAGCAAGGCTAAGCAGACCAGTTATGGATAAAATTTTTACATATCTATTTCAACGGTGTGTTGCATTTTTTTAACACTGGAATGAAAAATGACCTGTACAAATAAATACCAAATATCCTAAGGAAATACATTTTAACTAGTAATAACTAAACACCTTAATCATGAATTTTAAAACCAATTATTGATTAACAATAGAAAATACTATAAAAATATATGGATATCTCTCTCCCCCGAATTGCATGGCATCTATGAATCTATGATCTATGAAATAAAAACCATGGGTTGTTTGAATATCTTTTCTCTTGAACAGAGCCTTTAATCAAAAATTTTGGTTATGCTGATGACCTCATGACTTTCAAACAATTTTCGGCTTACTACTATAATTGATACAAAATAGACATTAAATGTAAACTAAAATGCTGGAATGTTCCAAGGGAGCGTACTAGATTCAACATTTAACTTGCTGAAGGCCAGAGTTTTCGAAATTTGTGTAAAAAGTAATAATAGATGATACAGTGTTGATATCAGTGCTTCAACATTATTCTTAAATCCTTCAAAAGGCGTGTAACAGCATAAATATATGAACAACGAACGGATAATCAGGCTTAATCAGGTTAAATCAGTACATAATCTATATAGACATAATACATAAACTCATTGTCTAGCACTTTTTTAAAATATGTTTAATAGAATGCATGCTTTTACGACAGTCTACTCCATTAGCTCGAATAAAACTACTCCATATCACTTTGTTTTTGACAAATGAAAGACAGGTTAATCAATCGAAATGTATGACTAGTGCAGAAACATTTATCTCGTTCTTTTCTTACATATTTATTGATCCCTCTTCAGTGTTTACTACTCCGACTGTTAAACCCTTTGTGAACGGGAATTCCATCGGACAGTGTGCTGGGGCCAATCCTGTATCTCATCTACACTTCCGACATCCTGACTAAACTTACTTCGCTCGTTGTAACCAACACTGCCGTACTTTCCTCTGATCCCGATCCTACAATTGCTTCGGAGGAGCACCAGGTACACGTTCAAAGAATAGCCGAATGGAGCAAACATTGAAGGATATGAAAATAAACTCACCCATGCCCAATCATTTACCCTCCGAAGCAGTGTTTCACACAATAACCTTAAACAACATTCCTACTCCTAAAACCGAGTGTATACGGGGGTTCTATCTTAACAGGAGGGGCCTTCTGTATTGTGTACTTTATGTAATTCTAAGTCCATAGAGGATGTGTTCCATTTCATTGCACAAGGAATAATCTTAAATGAAATCCGTATCCACTCAGGCTGCGGTTCCCTTTCCCGAGACCAATTAATTAACAAGTTAAACTATGAGCCGACTTCACTTGTAGAATTTTTATGCATTTCAAAACGATATTTTTATGTCAATGAAATGAATATTTAGGGTTTGTATAACTTATTGAAATTTGTTTTCTTTATTATTGTTTTTATTTAATTTATTCAC